AACCAATGGCAAGGAGCCCAGGAAGACACCAAACAAAAACAGAACAGGGCACAAGGCAGATCATGGGCAGGCTAATCACTGTAATGATACGTAAGAAGAAATAATGAGTAACTGATAACAAATAAATGATTGAACAAAAGGCCCTCAAAGTCAGGGGAATGGGACAGGAGACCCAGGGAAGGGGGGGGGGTAAATTAAAGAAATAAAACTAGGGGCAGGGGAATATACTTACCGTAGACGAGAAAACAACAAGGGACACAAACAAAAATGTCACCAAAATAGTATGAAACAACAAAGACATACATAGAGGCGCCGCCTCGGACGGTCAGCAGCATAAGTACTGCTGGGGAGTTTAAACCGGTTAATGGTGCACCAAACCTCACTCTTAGCCTCACCGTGTTCCTATAAAGGAGACAGAGTGTAAATGAAATAAATCCACGCCAAGTGAAATTCTAACAGTTGTCATGGTTACAAAAGGTGAAATAAGTTAAACATCGAGATGCTCATATAGAAATATACAAAAGAAAATCCAATGGCCATAACAAAAGTACTCAATGTCTTAAAGGAAGACAGAGCAAAAGAAGATCACCTACAAGGGCCCGACGAAGCAAGACAGAAAACGAACATTAAGGCAGTTCAGTCCCAAAAGGCTTTAAGAACTGTCCATCCTGGAGTCTCCTACTTGGTCCGTCAGATGTAATCAAAAGAGGAAAGCGTAGCGTCCAACTGTAAAAGGGTTGAACACTATATAAGCATGCGGTATGTCATAAAATAGCATGGTCATAATCCCTTTTAATAAAACGTTTTATAATTTTAGTAAAGACAACAGAAAAATTACAATGACCCAAGATCTTACGAAGTTTGTAAACAACATCCCCCTAAAAATCGGGCTGGTTAATCCCTTCTCGCATAAGTGTTTCTGTCCTGTTTTTCTTTTGGGGTCCTCCTGGGCTCCTTGCCACTGGCTCTTGTCGCTGGGTCGGGTGGGGGTTGCGTTCATTGAACGCCGCCTTTCCTTGTTGATCTTGTTTTTTCATATTTAGATCACTATTGAATTTCGAAGTTACGATTGTAAAATTTTGTAAAATATTTACGTAATTTATAAAAGCGGTAGCCCTATTTGAGTTGCTTACCAGTTATGAAAATATTTCGCACGTTAAAATCCTTCACGTGTTAAAATCCTTTACGTGCGTTGCTACAAGCTCTAGCGATTCTACTTAACTGATATATAAACCCCGTAAGATGTTGCATGCGGTAAGTCTCTATCCAAATGTGGATAATTTACTATACCATCAAAGTGCTGCAGCACTGAATGCGACGGACATGCAACCGGAGAGACATTAAGGCTTCTTTTAGAAAAAAACAAAACAAAAACAAAACACAAAATATATAACAGAGAAAATTTGTTCCATACAAGTTCGAGATTTGTAGATCAATATATTTTGTGTCCCAAATTGATATAATTCAGATTTTCTACTTTCAAGCACTTAAATACAGAATGAAATTTATGCCTAAAAACTCTGGTCAAACTTGTAAATCATTGTTCTTATCGATTTATTCTAAGAAATGATATGTAAATAGAAAAAAAACTATCAACGAAATATTTCTAGAATAAATCCAGGCAAATAAACTTCAAACATAATACATTATACATTTGAGAATGCTATTTAGAATTGCTTCGTGTTATATCATAGTGGGCATACAGACAATAAAATATAAGTCATTTGTATTTTTATTTCTCTTGGATATGTCTCATTAAAAAAATTGGTTAAAATCATCAGCAATTAATAGTGTATTTCTTAGATTTTTTTTATTTACAAGGTAAAGATGTAGAGGCCAGAGCACATCGTTTTTATTTTAATTTAAATGTCACTTAAGCACTATGTAGTGTTTAGTTGTCCTTTTCAACTTCACACTAAATTCCATTTTCAACTTGTTTGCTTCTTACAATTGTATAGAATTTCTAAAAGTATTGCATGTAATCCGCTGGTTTATTAATTACATGTTTAATGTGTACTTCCTAATCGCCTGTCCAAAAATCAGAACAGGTGAAGCAGAATCTATTTTTAGAATAGCGAAGGTTAACTCATATCATGACCTAGTAAAATATGTAAACAAACCACAAGAATCGGAAGTAGAACTGATATTATAACTTCCTTACCATGAAAGACTACATGGCGGTAAAGTGTCTTACATGCATTTTCAAAAATAGATAGTTATACAAACCATTGTACTGTATCTAATATATTAATAACTGCTGAATATTCAGCTAAACCCGCGGTATGAGTCACGAAAATAGTTCTTCTTTTATTAATGCGCGAGTTATCCTAGAGTCACGAAAAACTTTTGATTTGTTAATAATAATGTTTTGTATAATGTAGAAATATTTATTTCCTACTAATAATGTCTTGGAACTCAGAGGTTACACCTTTATTGTAGTATAATTTGCTGTCCTACTTTTTCGACAGCGGTAAATCGTTTCAGCAGTAATTTGCATATTGCGCAATAATACTACGGGACTACAACGTTTTTATCAATAATATACGTTCATATTTTAACTTGGATAACTTAATTTGAAATTGAAAAGGCTAAATATGGAAGACATTAAGATATCCAGACAAAGTTTGGGAGTTTTGAAGGATCAAATTCATGTTCTATTTCTTGGGCTGTTAATTGGTTTAGGACACATTGCGCGATTGTAGCCAACGAAATCCCATGTGTAGATGACTTAGCTCTGAACGCGCCTGAGGGCGCGTCCGTCGCAAAAATCAAAGTCATCTCATTTATCATATATTTTCGTGTGAATAGAATTGTTTTTGATAGACTCAAGAATTCGTTTTCTTAGGATGTAGCTCAGTAGCACCATTTGATCAAAATAAGAATTTTCTAAATATTAAAATGTTGTCAAGGTATCTGGAAGTGTTATTAAATGCTAATATAACATCTTGTTGTGTATTTTCAGAGAGACTGAACATAAAGTCACTATCATAGAAATATAAAAACAAATCGGCAACCAGGGGTGCACAATTAGTACCCATAGGAATTCCTATGATTTTTTTTAATTTATAGGGTATTACCAAACCTGACATACATGTAAATATTGTCTAAAAGAAAAGAGAGTGCTCTACAAACTTCGTCACAGGTCCACATAGTATACTGTTTTACAATACAGTTTGTAAAGAAGGCTTTTTGAGAGTGACATGAAAGAAATGGAAAAACTTTTTCCGTGCAAAGGTTTTCTGAATAAGGGAAATTAGTTTATCATTTATTAAATTATATGGCAGTGTAGTATTAAGGGTAGAAGAATTGTATGTACTGACAGTTGAAGCTTGATAGTTCTTAATTTTCAATTTATCCAAAATTTCACCGGAATTCTTAACCATGGAACAGTATTCTAACTGGGGCCTTACCTAAGTTTTGTAGGCAGTTTCTTTAACCTGTTTGTTTGAATTATTTGCTTTTGTTGTTATGTTATTTATATGATTGGTCCGAGATAGATCTTTACTTATTGTCACACCTAAATATTTTGCAACCTCAGTGAATGTTAGTTGTTTACCATGTAAATTATAAGGAAATGCAACTGGATGTTTTTCAGGCAGATACTAAGGACGCCGCCTTTCCTTGTTGATCTTGTTTATCATATTTTTCACATTTATCTGGGTCAAATTTCATGAACCAATCTCAAGACTGTGGATATCTTTTGGAGGGTTTGTGCATCTTGGGTTGATTTGATTGTTAGGCATACCATTGTATCGTCTGCAGATAGTCTAACATTGCCCTTAACACTGTCAGGGAGATCACTTATGTAAGATAAGAAAAGGCAAGATCCCAGGACCGAGCCTTGAGGACACCGGAAAGAACTGATAGGTTGTCAGAGTTTTGACCATCAACTCGACCTGTTGGGTGCGACCATATAAAAATGACCTTGTCCAAAATGACCTCTTAGCTAACATCTAGTCTTTGTAGTTTAAGGGGAAGTTTGTGATGGTCGACTTTATCAAATGCTTTGCTGAAGTCCATGAAAATGACATCGGTCTTTTGGCCTTGCTCTAAACTATCATGAGCTTCCTGGGTGAAGCCGATCAGCTGCATTTCACATTATCCCTCATTTCTGCATTATCCCTCATGTACAGACTCAATCAAACCGAATCTGCAATTCTCTTGTAATTTTGTTGCGATTAATGCTTCCGATGGATCACTTTGTTTCCAGATTTTTACATTTTTGGGCCTTTCGTATAAACAGGGCAATGACTGTATGCTTCCAGTCATGAGGGACAGTACCAGTTTTTAAGGAAATTTAGAAGATGTGTGAGAGAACTTGGGCAATTTCAGTATGAAGCTCTTTCAATAACCTTTGGGACAGCTGGTTGGTGCCAGAGGCTTTGCTTGGATTTAAACTTTTAATTAAAGAGTTTCTTTACTCCTTCCCCTGTTATGTTGACATACATGTATAATGGCATTTTTGGATAGTTTTGTGGAGTGAGCAATTGTTTGCAAGACTGGTTTAGACTTAATGGTTCGGGGCGGGAGAAGACAGACTCAAATTGTTTGTTTAGTATGTCTGCCTTCATTTTGGGATCAGTAAAGGTTTGACTATCACTCTTTAAAGGTGCTACTCCACAGTTTTCTGTTTTGTTTGATTTGATAATTTAAGAGTAATTCTAACTTCTTTTCCCCTTCTTTTCCATGTTTATTCTAGACCCCTTAAGGAGGAGGTTGAGGTTTGGTTAAACTTAAGCCCCCTAGTCGAATTTTTCCGTATGTATGAATGTAGGCTATATAACTTCTTTTCCATGTTTATTCTAGACCCCTTAAGGAGGAGGTTGAGGTTTGGTTAAACTTAAGCCCCCTAGTCGAATTTTTCCGTATGTATGAATGTAGGCTATATAATATGTTGAAATTAATGAACAACGTTTATAAAAAATATGGCTCAAAAAAAAAGCCGCTCGAATTACTTCCCTTACACCGGTCATGATTTTTAAGAATGTTCGATTAACAAAAAGAATACCACTAATTTTAGTTAGGTAGAATCGTGTGCAATATTATGCGGATAGAAGTTGGCGGGAGAGCGTGTGCCTTTGTTCCCGGAAAATATCAACTTTTAACTCAATAATATCCGCTTGCAAATAAATATAATCATGACAGATAAAGATGGAGGTGTGTATGAGAAAGAACATATAACTTTATCCCCACAGATGTGCATGATCATTGATGCCATCACTTTCTATGCGCCTACTAAACACTGCTAAGGACTGCTAAGGACCGCTAAGGACTGCTAAGGAGCCACAAAGGACTACTAAAGAGGCACAAAGGACCTTAAAATACCTCCTAGGCCATTCTTATGTTACATGGTATTATTTCTAGTGAAAAAAAATTATAATTTTAAGAAAAAATATGATTTTGGTGAAAATTTTATGAGTTCTCGGACCGCTAAGGACTGCTCAGATACACAAAAGACTGCTAGGGAGACACAAAGGACCTTAAAATACCTCCTAGGGCATTCTTATAATACAAGGTAGTATGTTTAGTGACAAAAAATGTATTATTTTAAGAAAAAATATCATTTTAGTGATAAAATTTATGTTTTTGAAGAGTTGTCGGACCGCTAATAACTGCTCAGGTGCACTAACAACTGCTAGGGAGGCACAAAGGACCTTCAAATCCCTCCTAGAACATTCTTATAATATATAGTAGTAAGTTAATAGACAAAAATGTATTATTGTAAGAAAAAAATATGATTTTGGTGATAGAATTTATGCTTTCGATGAGTTGCCGGACCGCTAAGGACTGCTCAGGTGCGAAAAGGACTGCTAGGCAGGCACAAAGACCTATAAATATTTCCTAGGGAGGCACAAAGGACCTTAAATAACTGTTGGGGCATTGTTATAATTCATGGTAGTATGTTTAGTGACAAAAATGTATAATTTTAAGAAAAAATATATCATTTTAGTGATAAAATTCATGTTTTTGAAGAGTTGTCGGACCGCTAAGGACTGCTCAGGTGCACTAACAACTGCTAGGGAGGCACAAAGGACCTTCAAATCCCTCCTAGAACATTCTTATAATATATGGTAGTAAGTTAATAGACAAAAATGTATTATTGTAAGAAAAAAATATAATTTTGGTGATAGAATTTATGCTTTCGATGAGTTGCAGGACCGCTTAGGACTGCTAGGGAAGTACAAAGAATCTTAAAATACCTCCTAGGGGCACAAAAAGGACTGCTAGGGAGGCACAAAAGGACATTTAAATACCTCCTAGGGCATTCTTTATAATATATGGTAGTATGTTTAGTGAGAAAAAATGTATAATTTAAAAAAAAATATAACTTTGGTGATAGAATTTATGCTTTCAAATGAGTTGCCGGACCGCTAAGGACTGCTCAGGTGCACTAACAACTGCTAGGGAGGCACAAAGGACCTTAAATTACTTCCTAGGGCATTTTTAAATATTATATTGTAGTAAGTTAATAGATAAAAAAATGTATTATTTTAAGGAAAAAATATAATTTTGGTGATAGAATTTATGTTTTCGATGAATTTGCAGGACCGCTAAGGACTTGCTAGGGAGGTACAAAGAAATCTTAAAAATACCTCCTAGGGGCACAAAGGACTGCTAGGGAGACACAAAGGACATTTAAATATCTCCTAGACATTCTTATAATATATGGTAGTATGTTTAGTGAGAAAAAATGTATAATGTTAAGAAAAAATTATAATTGTGGTGATAGAATTTATGTTTTTCGATGAGTTTGCTGGACCGCTAAAGGACCTGCTCAGGTGCGCAAAGAACTGCTAGGGAGGCACAAAGGACCTTAAAATTACTTCCTAGGGATTCTTATAATATATGGTAGTATGTTTAGTGAGAAAAAGGTATAATTTTAAGAAAAAATATAATTGTGGTGATAGATTTTATGTTTTCGATGAGTTTGCTGGACCGCTAAGGACTGCTCATGTGCGCAAAGAAACTGCTGGGGAGGCAAAAAGGACCTTAAATTACTTCCTAGGGCATTCTTATAATATTATGGTAGTATGTTTAGTGAGAAAAAAGGTATAATTTTAAGAAAAAATATAATTGTGGTGATAGATTTTATGTTTTCGATGAGTTGCTGGACGCTAAGGGAGAGCTCAGGTGCGCAAAGAACTGCCTAGGGAGGCACAAAGGACCTTAAATTACTTCCTAGGGCATTCACATAATATATGGGTAAGTGATATTTAATTTTAGTGAAGAAAAAATGGTATAATTTTTAAGAAAAAAATATAATTGTGGTGATAGAATTTATGTTTTCGATGAGTTGCCAGACTGCTAAGGACTGCTCATGTGCGCAAAAGAACTGCTAGGGAAGGTACAAAGGACCTTAAGTTACTTCCTAGGGGCATTATTATAATATATTGTAGTAGGTTTTTATAAATAAAAAATGTAATATTTTAAAAAAAAAAAATAATTTTGGTGAATAAGAATTTATGTTTTCGATGAATTGGAGGACCGCTAAGGGGCACAAAGGACTGCTAGGGAGGCACTAAAGACCTAAAATTAATAATTATTAGAGTAAATAGTAATTCTATTTAATTTTGTTTTGTGATCTTTCTATTTTTATGTATTTTGGTGTGATTATTACAGGACTGCATAGGATGTGAAAATTGACTAGGTCTTTTAAGTAAATGCTCTTATGTTAAGTGGTAGGATACATATATAGAGGATATTGAAATGAGTGTAGTTTAATACTAAATTTATTGAAAGAGTTGAATAAAATCATATTATGCGAGCTCTGGCGAGCATAATACTGTTTTATTCAACGAGTTCAATATTAATTTAGAATTGAAATCTACACAAATATAATATTTCTATTTATCACATATACAAAATAAGAACAGTGAACTGTTAAAATGAGTAATTCTACAATGACGCGCCCATAGTGTAACGCTATGTTTATATATAGCGCAAATGAAAAAACGTCATGTCCAAAGTGTTTATTACACTTAGTGTAATATCGTTTTTATTAAATGGCTTTAATAACACTTCCGCCTGCGCTGGGGGTTTATGTGATAAAAAATATATATATAAATTTTTTTTTTTAAAGGAACTGAAAAGTGGACAGATGTAACAGAAATGAGCAAATGATTCTTTTTACAATAACAACTAAACTTATCTTGTTCTTATGTTGTATGATATGGAAGTAGTTAGCTTTGCAACTGTACATAGAAATATTTCAGCACTAAAATTTAAATAGAATAATCATAAAACAGAATGATAAATCTTATCAGGCTATATATTCACAGAAAAACTATTAAAGTAGGATATATAGAATGTTGAAGCAACGGATTTAATTGTCAAATTAAAAAGTCCGTGGTTTGAAAGTGACATTTGTGGTTAAAATTAATCAATGGTTTAAAAACATAGATTCTTTAAGATCATTCTTTTTTACTTCAATAAAAAACAAATCATCTTAATTCCCAGCCCCTCATAAAACAGTGGGATAAGGATCCTAACTATATACATACAGATGGGGCTGGCACATTATTGGAAGTTAACAAGCTGTATATTGGGAGCTGTGTATTGTAAATATTGGGATGTGTGATATATTACAAAACCAGTGGGGTGCCAATCATAGGGTGATATACTTCAAAACAGTGGGAGGGACTTTCTGTTAGAGAATGCCTATTAAGTAGGCTGTAGATCAATAAAGTCTAAGGATCTATTGAACATCATTTTTTTTTGGCCAAATATATAGTCAATGAAAAAAAAAAACAACCCAAAAAACAAATATATATAACCACCCTGAATTAATGTATTTGTCTCCATATTCCAGCACATTGTCATATCACTTGACCAATATAATTATTATAAAGAAAATGGAAGAAGATCATAAGAAAAAGGATTTTAATATATGGTTATGACCCCAGTAAATGAAAAAGTGATAATAATTAAAATTTGTTTTGTAAAACAAAAGTCCTAAACAAATATTTTGACTCTATAAATTTTAAATGAATGATCAGCTGTCCATTTATACTGAAACATTAACATAGAGAACTATCAATACTGGGAAATAATGAACTTATAACACTGAATCATAATAACATCTTCATATAATAATGTTACTGACATTTCACATAAATAAAAATAAAATTTCATCAATTGGTAGTAATAAATTACATAAATTCTATCACCAAAATTATATTTTTTTCTTACAATAATACATTTTTGTCTATTAACTTACTACTATATATTATAAGAATGTTCTAGGAGGGATTTGAAGGTCCTTTGTGCCTGCCCTAGCAGTTTGTTAGTGCACCTGAGCAGTCCTTAGCGGTCCGACAACTCTTCAAAAACATGAATTTTATCAACTAAAATGATATTTTTTTTTTAAATTATACATTTTTTGTCACTAAACATACTACCATGAATTATAAGAATGCCCCAACAGTTATTTTAAAAGGTCCCTTGTGCCTCCCTAGGAAATATTTATAGGTCTTTGTGCCTGCCTAGCAGTCCTTTTCGCACCTGAGCAGTCCTTAGCGGTCCGGCAACTCATCGAAAGCATAAATTCTATCCACCAAAATTATATTTTTTCTTACAATAATACATTTTTTGTCTATTAACTTACTACCATATATTTATAAGAATGTTCTAGGAGGGAATTTGAAGGTCCTTTGTGCCTCCCTAGCAGTTTTTAGTGCACCTGAGCAAAGTCTTAGCGGTCCGACAACTCTTTCAAAAACATGAATTTTATCACTAAAATGAATATATTTTTTTCTTAAAATTATACATTTTTGTCACTAAACATACTACCATGAATTATAAAACAATGCCCCAACAGTTATTTAAGGTCCTTTGTGCCTCCCTAGGAAATATTTATAGGTCTTTGTGCCTGCCTAGCAGTCCTTTTCGCACTCTGAGCAGTCCTTAGCGGTCCTGCAACTCATCGAAAGCAATAAATTCTATCACCCAAAATTATATTTTTTTCTTACAATAATACATTTTTTTGTCTATTAAAACTTAATACCATAAATATTATAAGAATGTTCTAGGAGGGATTTGAAGGTTTCCTTTGTGCCTCCCTAGCAGTTGTTAAGTGCACCTGAAGCAGTCCTTTCAGCGGTCCGACAAACTTCTTCAAAAAACATAAATTTTTATCACTATAATGATATTTTTCCTTAAAATTAAAACATTTTTTGTCACTAAACATACTACCATGAATTATAAGAATGCCCCAACAGTTATTTTAAGGTCCTTTGTGCCTCCCTAGGAAATATTTATAGGTCTTTTGTGTCTGCCTAGCAGTCCTTTTCTGCACCTGAGCAGTCCTTAGTGGTCCTGCAACTCATCGAAAGCATAAATTCTATCAAACCAAAAAAATTATATTTTTTTCTTACAATAATACATTTTTGTCTATTAACTTACTACCCGATATATTATAAGAATGTTTCTAGGAGGGATTTGAAGGTCTTTTGTGCCTCCCTAGCAGTTGTTAGTGCACCTGAGCAGTCCTTAGCGGTCCGGCAAACTCATTGAAAGCATAAATTCTATCACCAAAATTATATTTTTTTCTTAAAATTATACATTTTTTTCTCACTAAACATAACTTTACCATGTATTTATAAGAATGCCCTTACAGGTATTTTAAGGTCCTTTGTGCCTTCCTTAGGAAATATTTTAAGGTCCCTAGCAGTTCTTTTCGCACCTGAGCAGTCCTTATCGGTCTGGCAACTCATCGAAAGCATAAATTCTAATCACCAAAATTATTTTTTTTCTTACAATAATACATTCTTGTCTATTAACTTACTACTTTATATTATAAGAATGTTCTGTAGGGGATTTGAAACGGTCCTTTTGTGCCTGCCTAGCAGTTGTTAGTGCACCTGAGCAGTTCCTTAGCGGTCCGACAACTCTTCAAAAACATGAATTTTATCAAACTAAAAATGATATTTTTTCTTAAAATTATTTACATTTTTTTGTCACTAAACATCACTACCATGAATTATAAGAAATGCCCCAAACAGTTATTTTAAGGTCCCTTGTGCCTCCTAGGAAAAATTTATAGGTCTTTGTGCCTGCCTAGCAGTCCTTTTTCGCACCTGAGCAGTCCTTAGCGGTCCGGCAACCTCATCGAAAGCAAAAATTCTATCACCAAAATTATATTTTTTCTTACAATAATACATTTTTTGTCTATTTTAACTTACTACCATATATATTATAAGAATGTTCTAGGAGGGGGGGGGATTTGAAGGTCCTTTGTGCCTCCCCTAGCAGTTGTTAGTGCACCTGAGCAGTCCTTAGCGGTCCGACAACTCTTCAAAAACATGCAATTTTATTCACTATAATGATTATTTTTTTTCCTTAAAATTATACATTTTTTGTCACTAAACATACTACCATGAATTATAAGAATGCCCCAACAGTTATTTTAAGGTCCTTTGTGCCTCCCTAGGAAATATTTATAGGGTCTTTGTGCCTGCCTAGCAGTCCTTTTCGCACCTGAGCAGTCCTTAGCGGTCCTGCAACTCATCGAAAGCATAAATTTATCTATCACCAAAAATTATATTTTTTTTCTTACAATAAATACATTTTGTCTATTAACTTACTACTATATATTATAAGAATGTTTCTAGGAGGGATTTTGAAGGTCCTTTGTGCCTCCCTAGCAAGTTGTTTAGTGCACCTGAGCAGTCCTTAGCGGTCCGACAACTCTTCAAAAACATAAATTTTATCACTAAAATGATATTTTTTCTTAAAATAATACATTTTTTGTCACTAAACATACTACCCTTGTATTATAAGAATGCCCTAGGAGGTTTTTTAAGGTCCCTTTTGCCTCCCTAGCAGTCTTTTGTGTATCTGAGCAGTCCTTAGCGGTCCGACAACTCATAAAATTTTCACCAAAAATTCATATTTTTTTCTTAAAATTATAATTTTTTTTTCTCACTAAAAATAATACCATGTAATATAAGAATGGCCTAGGAGGTATTTTAAGGTCCTTTGTGCCTCTTTAGTAGTCCTTTGTGGCTCCTTAGCAGTCCTTAGCAGTCCTTAGCGGTCCTTAGCAGTCCTTAGCAGTGTTTAGTAGGACCCCTTTCTATGTACATGTCTACAAATTACAATGAAATCGAAAAAATTATGTGCCTAATGACTGTCAAGATTCTGAACTGCTTAAGTTATATTTAATGTATCTTTTCTGCCCCTGTCATTCAGATATTTGAATTCATTTGCTTTTGCCCATCCAAGTAATTTCTACTGTATGCTATTTAGTTTTTAGATTATGTATATTAAACAGTAATAATCTTGGTAACAAGACTCTTCACCTCTCCAATCTATATTAATAAAGATAGGATGAAATTCACACTGCAGGATATCATCACCACAGCAACATTTTGCTCTCTCGGGGTGAACATTGATTGATTTATTACAAGCAGACTTTATTTACTATTGCGTCTGTAACAAATAACATTTGCCGCCCCCCCCTCCCTGCCCCCCTCCTAAATTTCGTACTTGAATTAAAATGTTATAAATATTTAATAATGTCTATTTTGTTAACCAAAATTATTCACCGATTGCAGGGTTGTCATTAACATTTTTTGCAGAAGGTTTGTTTTGAACTTGAGGCGGTCATTTCTGTCTTTATCATGCATAACAAAGAGTGTTTTCTTAATTTTGAGGCGGCCCATAATGCATTTGAGACAGGCATTTTGGCCTCCTGCCGCCTCTTAATGACAACCCTGGATTGGGGGAAATTCAGTAGAGCTAATATACATTACAAATATGTTTTTTTATTAAATCTGAAAAATAGAGATGTATTACTTTAAAACAAACATTATTCAGATTAATATTTAAGTGTAACTGATTTTTTCTAACAAGACTTCATTTTACATGAACATGAACATTTATATGCCATATTGATCATAGTGATTCTAAATGTGATTTTCCACTGCAGATTGCGGGCATTTTCTTACCCGTCCGCTGTGGTTTGTCGCTGTGACGTGCCATAGTAATTAGTATGTCTCCCACGATTTTCCCCAGGTCGTTAAGTGTCTGAGATGCTTGAGCGGCAAATGTAAAAATCGCATAACTTAAGCTTGAACTTGAATTAAATTTTGAATCATTTGTTGTATCTCTTTTTTGCAGTAGGTTATGTTACCACTGTAATGGGCCACAAGTAGATTTTCAGCTGGAGGAAGGGCCTCAAAAGTGTATTAAGAATTAAGTAGAATGAATGATATCTAATGATAAATGCATATGTCTTTGTAGAGAATTTTGATGATGCAGTGGAGGAGCGTGTGATTAATGAAGAATACAAAATATGGAAGAAAAACACACCATTTTTATATGACTTGGTGATGACACATGCCCTAGAATGGCCAAGTCTAACTGCACAATGGCTACCAGATGTTTCAAGGTAATATAAGCATAATATTTCAGTGAGTCAGGCAGACATTCTTGGAGTCTGAGGGTGCACATGCTTGAGTCCCTTTGCAAAAATAAAAAATTCCAGTATGTAGCTGAATAAAAAAGTTCATTTTCAAGAGCAGACCCTTGGCAAACTGAATTATAGTAAGACATATAAAGACATAATTATATAGTTTAAACATATTTTATTTAGTAAATTTACAAGCATGTATATAGTTTAAAACAAAAGGTTCATTGGTAATAATTTATTTATTGAAGATGTATATGGCAGGGGCTGCCGGCAAAAATCAATTGCCCAGGTTGTCAGGCTGCCTATACGGACAATTAAATCTTCACAAGAATTTAGTTGTTTATAAATATCATATGGACAAGTAAAAAATTCAGACAAGTAGGTCAAAATCAGATTATGCCGACCCTAATGAGAGTAATTTCCAGTAATTGAGTTGAACAAATGCATAGCAACGGCTATTAACTGATCAAATTTTAAATGGGAAATTATATAAATTTATCCAATCTCCTTTAAGTCAATAATCTCTGCCGAGAGAGAGAACTTTTGCTTTTCTCTTTATCAATTTAAAGCAGTTTCAGCAACATGACTGTTATAATGTTTTGGATATTGCGAACACAGTCCGACGTCCATCCAAACAAGAAGCCAGCACTAGGCCTTTTCCAAACAATTGGGGAAACAATGAAATTTTTGATCAGTGGTTAAAAATATTATGTATAATCTAAGATTTTTCAGATCTTTGTGATGTTGAAATTTGTCCCATTGTTAGGGTGTCTGGACACATATGGCAAAGCATTGATATGTGGCGGCATCTGTGACCTAAGGAAATATTTCCAGTTTTATCTCTGGCAAGTTGGAAAAGATAAAATCTTGACATTTTTGTAAAAAGTTTGTATTTTACTTACAGACCCGATGGTAAAGATTACTCCTTGCACAGACTTATTTTAGGAACACATACGTAAGTACTGCCATAGTGGTTTATTTGCTTTTTCTATGTTAAACATCATAATTCAAAGTTATTTCTATTGTGTATTTGAAACAGCTATTATTTTACCCCAGCAAACAAGTTTGATGGGTGTATACTGGAGTCAGCTTGTCCCAAGGCCTGTCTATTACTATACTTGAATGATTTCCTTGTTAACCGTGCTCTAAATATCTTCTTAATATACGAATTTCAATAAGATGGCCTTTAATATAGACATAAATGTTTTAATAAAATATTTGAAAATAACAAATTTCTTGTATTCATATAAAAATGTATGGAATGTTGGTGGTTATACTTGGGTCCCCGTTTGTGCCTGAAATAATGTAAACAGAAGGGCGCCAGAGGTCTTCCAGTTAAGCTGGGATGTTGCCATATGACCTATACTGTGTCGGTGTGATGTAAAACACAAATAAACATATAAAATTAATGAGTTTTTGAATATTTTTTTTTTTGTTCTTAAAAATCTCACGGTATGAAACTGATTAAATGAAATAAAAGTTAGCTTGATTCTTATTAATGAATTAGGGATTTAAAAAAAATTCTAATTTGAACATGACCCATTATCTTTCTTGAAAAAAGACAAGAAGAACATGATAGTTTTTGGAAATGAAGAATTATGATAAAATTGGGTCTATTTCATAACTTTTCTTAAGAAATATTCTGATTAAATAAGACAAATATTTTCTATGTGTAAATATATAGTAATTATATTATCACAAAACTACTGACAATGACTGGCAAAAGTTAGAATCTATTATATTATGTTATAGTTTTTTTTTAATAATGGGTCTAGTTGACCCATGCCAAGTTATCCCATGCTGAGTTACTGCTAATTTTGTTGAGGGCCATTGACAGTAGATAAATAAAATCACTGTACTGTGTTTTGCGAACCTATTTAATTCAATGTGTACCCTGTCTTGCGATTACAAGTACATGATTCTTCTGATCACTACCTTACTTTGGAGCCTCACTTGAATCTTGTAGACTTAATTATATACTATTACATTGAACTTTAATGCCGATAAAGTTGTATCCGGACCAGTATTAGCCAGGACAGAGGCAGTGCTAGTTTAAGACTGGGCTTGTTATTTTATAGCTAAATCAATTGTAAGTTATTTGTAGCAAGCATCCAGCTGATAGAAATTTGCTAGAGAGATAATTTTTGTGTCCATGTGATGCATACTGACAGCATAAGAATAGGATTGCTGAGGAAACAATATTTTGCATTCTATATACAATGTTACCCAGTTACAATGAGTCCCGTTATAACGCCAGGGCATTTTTTGTCAAAATTTTGAAGGGGCCTGGACCTGTTCATTTTGTGAAAAAAAGCATGATTTGTCATAAAATAACATATCATTTGGCATTTAGCAACATTATGAAACCGGAAAATCTACTTCAAGTCGGTACTTTAACCCACTTAACATGTGCTTAAACCATTTAACTTGATTAAATCTATTTCTGTGTTCTTGAAATGGGCATAAATCATGTTTTAACGGAATGTTAGCAATGTCCAAATATTTTGTAAAATTTCTTTTGAAATTGTGAATTTTTTTCCGCCACTTTGTGAAAAAAAAAGTGCAATTTTGAATTGTGAAGGGGCCTTATTTCGGCCCCTGTTATAGAAGAAAAGAAAGCCTTGAACACTAACTTCAGTATAATGCTCGTAGGCCTTGGCTCCCCAAAAAAATGCAGTTTTTGCCTATTGAAAAAAATTCTGGTATATTTATAACGCACATATATCCGCTATAAAGCTTGTTCAATGTGCTAGTCAAGTAGAATAAACAGTCGTAATTGGGACATTTGTGAGCGCAGAAGGTCACTAGGTGTGAAGGATAGTGTTAAGGTTCTCTTATGTCTCTGTCAATCAGTCCGGTATCAAAATTTTATAACAACGGTTTTGAGACCTTAAACTGAAACATGAGTGTTATAACGGGGTTGCAGTGTATTATGAATATAATAAAAGACTTCAAATGTGTTATATATTTATAAAATGTTCAGTTGTTCTTGTGCATTATTAATTTAAGTTAATCTAAGCATAACAAATTAGTGAATGCTTTGTGTATTTCAAGTGATTTTTTTAGCATTACATATGCCAATATGCTATTTGGAACTTGGTTCTTAACTGATAATAGGCAGCTTCTAAAACTTCAGCAATTTGATGTTATGTAGCGGATGAACTTTATTTTAAATTTGAGACTTATGTGTATTTGATTTGATTTGTTCATATTTAATCTTTCATTTAAAGCTGCACTATTCAATAGTTATTAAGAGTTCAAGACAAAATTTTAAAGAATTTACAATTTTATTCATGGAGATATTTTAACAATATACATCACAATGACCTTAGGCAGAGATTATCAAAACAACTGGTTGCACTGGTTTACAATTAAGGTATTAGGACCCTAATGGGCACTATCAGGAACTAAAGAATTGACATCATAGGTCAGATGTATACCTTAAAGTACACCTGTATGCAAAATTTAAACAAAGTTTACCATACGGAAATCAAGTTATGGCCACTTTTCTGAACTCAAGCTAGGATGTTATGAGGGCCCTTTTTTAGAAATGAGGAACCTTTAAATAATCTGCAATAACATTCTAATGAAAAATGTTTTCCCATGAATTTTTGGTAAGAAACAAATAGTATAATTCAGCTAACAATCCACACAAGCAAAATTATGGTTTCTACTTAAAATTTATGAAATCTGTATAAAAGTATTACCCTACCCCACCCATTTTTACCACATGTCTGACCATTTTTCTACTTAGGGAGCCTAATTCAAAAAATTCTTAAAATTTACCAAAATGAGTGCCTGTTTTCAAAGTTTCCCTAAATTTTTAAAAAGGTATATTGGTTGATCTTTTAAAATATGAAATACTTTTACCGTCTAGTTTTGATTATATTACACTTTGAAAATATCAGGTTCCATATTTATTACTAGATTTAGCATAATTTACCCATAAATACCTATATAAATTAAAAATTCAAAATTAAACACTTTTTTCTTTCCATATGGGACATGAGAGATACATAAATAATGTTAAAAGAAAAAAAGAAAGAAAAAAAAAAGTTGACCCTTCTGGGGATTGAACCCATGGCCCTCATTTTCAATGTAGTTAACAGTAATTCTAGCCTATTTGAATACTCTTCAAAGCGGAGGTAATGCATTAGGGTGCTAATACCTTAAATCAAAAGAAGGTGAGAACACACATCAAACATCAGGATGGTTTGTAAACTGGTTTATTCTAGCATCTACCAGTTTCATTCTTTCTAGACTTTCATGAGGTTGAGAATATGTTAAGAGTTACAGGGGAATCTTTTATTTCTATGTCATAGTTTGTCTGTTTATATTTACTCTGTATTTTAGGGTCTCAAATTAGTTTTATTACTGTATTAAGACTTTGGGAAATCATTGTTTTAATAATCATGACTAGGCTTTTTAGACAAATTGCAAGTTTGAAATCTTTTTTTAACCCTGAGGAATAATGAAAGATGCTATAATGACAAAAATATTGAAATGTCTTACATAAATATTTCACATAAAAGCTAAGCAAGCCTGTTACCCTAGTCTTTAGGACAGCTTTTGTTATTATCCAATGCTGAATTTTGGTGCCATTCATTTGATGTAATGTACATTATTAAAGTTTTCTTAAACAGTAAGTGGAAGAAAGCCTGTCTACTTGTTAAGTTGGTAGTGAACAAGAAAATAGATTTTTTTTGTACTATTAGATTTTACAGCGATCCAACATAATTTTTCATGAAATTTCATTATGAAACATGTACAGCAACTCCTGTGCATTATCATCTTTGAACAGTTTTAAAATTTGTAAACGATGCGATGTAGATTGTCTAAATTAAATGAAAAATAAAATTGTTTGAGATTCTCATTAAAAACTGGCTAATATTGCCATTTGAACATGAAGAAAATTAATGACTGGTAAAAGATATTTACACATTCATGGGTCATTCGGGTCAAAATGTTATATAAATGCCTACTAGTACATAAAGACTTCAAGTACTTTAACTGGAGAAATAGTAATTTGCTTTTTTAGAATCATTCTTTGTAAATAATTATGAATTTTTCATCAAATTTTGATTTACACTCTCACATTATTATGAATACATTATCACTTTTTCACGCATTGACGCAATGTTAACTGACTCAGAAATGGGATGGAAAGCAAACCCATTGCATAAGTGACAATACTCGGTAAAATTAATTGTAAATTTTTGCTAAGAAAATGTTTTTGATATTATAAATCTCTTTAACTAATCAAAGTTGTGGGTATCTGGCAGAGTGGTAAAGGTTTGCTGACTTCTAACCACTTGCACCAATGTTGGCTGGAATCTGGACAGGAAAGTCTAAATCTCTGATGAAGTGAAGTTTATGAAAAGTATATTATAATTTGGTTCTACACTTGTGCCTACACATGACTGAAACTATGAATGGAATGAAAACGGAGGTCTCTGTCTCCACCATTAATGTTGGAAAGTGGCCATATGACCACAACAGTGATCTTGTATTTTATTACTCAACCAAGTCATTGTGTTTTGACATCTCATAAAAAAAGTTACTTAATATTAATGCTACTAAAAAATAAAAAATCAATTTTAAAATCACTAGAGTTAGAAGTGTTTTAAGTTGATTTGAAAGAAAGGGGGGTGTTTTGTGTTCTGACTGTACATTAATTATGTTTTGTCTCTTTACAAGTAATGTTATTAAATTATGTTTTACCTCTTTACAAGTGATTTATATACTTGTGTTGAAAACTGTTTAAATACGACTTGCTTTGTTTCAAACTTGTCAATACTTTATATAAGATTATTCAAGTTTGTCATCATTTAATTAAGCAGGCAACTTTCTACAGATTGGTCATTTTCAATTTCAAAGAAGTCACACTAAAATTAATATTCCAAAGATATTGTAGATGCAGATGAAAAAAATTATTCAAACTTGAACTATTAAAAT